TTATCATCTTTGATTAGAATGATCTCTGATACTGAAGCAACTAAGAACTATTATTAGCATATGAAAATCAAAAAATCAGAGATGAGAACAGTTACTGAATGAACACTCACTGATCTTAGAGTTGTACATACAATTACAACATGCACAAGGCTTCTCAGAAAGAGAGAGAGAGACACAGAAGAATGCAGGAAGCAGAACACAGTATACAAATGACTCATTCTCATGATAACATCTCAGACAAGATGTACAAGTCTCATGTTCACAGGTGTAAAAGAGTATGACATCTGCATTCTCATTTCTGAAAACATGAATATCTTTTGCCTGCACCACGAAGTTGAACAACAGACACCAGAGAATAGGCTGATATAAATCTATCATTTCAAAGGAATTCACCAGAGTGAATGTCTCCACGATGTTGAACTTTACAGTTATAAAAAGTTTCTTGATGTCTGTGAATGCCACAACTTCATGCACAGCAAAACTCATAATAATTTCTTCTAAGAACAGGAAAATCAGCATCAGAAAGAAAAAGATGAAAAAAAAAAAAGAAAAAGACTTACAATCTCAACACTGTTGAAAGAGAGAGTGATTCTCTGAAATAAATGAATAATTGTTTCATCATGAATATTTAAAATAAATGTAATAATCAGTATCTGTGACTGAACTTTAGATAGTCATGTTATACACTGTCTTCATATAATAAATTGTTTTAGAGGTCAGTAAGAAGAGTGAGAGTGTACACACTGAGAAATGTGATTCACTGAGTCTATACAACATCTTCTTGAAATGGGAAGAGCTAGTAAGAAAGGCAGAGATGATAAAACCAGAAGTAGTGAGAGTAGAGGTCACGGGAACAGAGGTAGCAGGAGCAGGAGAATCAGACACAGAGACAAGTATAGAAGATTGAGAGAGAGCAGCAGAAGAAGAAGTAGCAGAAGAGATAGAGAAGAATGCTGAAGACTCAGTCATACATAACATGAGCAATTTCTTCATTATCACATTCTTCAAGTTCTCAATCAATGATTCAACACTGAGTTCACTATCATCAGTGAATGTGAATCTGTCAACACATGACAATTCTATACAAATAAAAACAAACATATCAGCATCTGCATTCATGCAAAATTGTGTCAGGAAACACAATCAGAAACTCACTGAGAAGAAGAAATGATTGAGAGTGTACAAGAAGATGAAGAAGATGTGTCATCATTCATGATAATACATTGTTCTGATAATTGTTAGAAGATAAACAAGTTCTGATCACATTTCACAATACATTACACTTACTGCTAATAAACTGCCTAGTATGAGCACTACAATGATGCTTGTTGTGAGAATGAGAAGTCATTATCAGGAACATGTACAATGTGATAGATAGACAGATAGAAAGAGTTGAACAGAAGAAGAAGTAGAAATCTTGAATGATAGTAGCATTTAATGATGATGAAATGAAGAAGATGATTGAAGAATAAGAAAAGTTAGTGAATAAGTGATGTAATATAGTGAAAGTTTCTTTGTGAGAGTGTACACAGAACACTAGCCAAATTCAGAATAGACTACATGATTATGAAATGCTAGTGATGAGCTAATCTGCATGAAGCTAGAATGTACAACATGATCACATGAGTGTGACTGAATCTGGTGAGGGAGAATGTGATTCAGAAGAATGTATGACTGTTGGATAATAATGCAGCCGCTTCTGAACTACTAGTGTACGCGTACAAGTGTAAAGGGGCCATAGCGGCTGCTAATCATAATTAGCGTATGATATTACAATATATAAGAAGCCGGCGTACGCCTGTAATCATACGCTGGCTTAAGCAACCTTTGAATCACATGAGCGCTATGTTATAATATTATGTAAGTAAGAAATGATTTCATGATCTTATTTAATATCATTCTCAATAATGAGATCAGAATGAAAATGTGACTAAGAATTCAAATATATTCTTTATCTGAGACTAGATTTTTATTTGAAAAGTGAATCTGAGACCTTTAATATTTGAAATAATGTGATTTGAGATCAATGTAATGAACATAAATCATGATCAGAAGTAATGCTTTTAGATAACATGACAACTGTAAAGTTTGATTCTGATTCCAGACACGGTCACACGGTCAGTCTAATTATAACTCTGTGAAATTATTGATAATTTCTGTCATTTCTATATGCATTTGTTGCTGAAAAGTTGAGGATTTGAGAAGAGCAGATATTAAGAGAATCAGATTTTAAAAGTAGAGTAATCTCATGAAGAATTCAGTGAGATTTTTCTGAGCAGAACTCAGAGTTGATATTTGTATTAATAATACTATTAAAATTGAGATTTTCTTAACTGATAAAATCAGAAATTATACTCTGTATTACTTTTTCAGAGTTGATAGATCTTCAGAGAGCAGACTTATCAGTGATATATTCTTCAATAAACACAGAATTTGCAGTAGTGATTTGTAGTTTTGTCAGAAAATATCTGACTCTCCAGCTTATAGTCTTATTGCTAGAATAAATGAATTCATTTCAAAGTTACTGTATTTATGAGATATATCAATTACTGAATCAGAATTAATAAATTAATCAGTAATAGTAACAGTAATTGTATCAGTAGCTGATATTTCAATATTATCAGTAACTGACTTATCAGAATTCTCTTAATTATTATTTTCAGAAATATTCTTCTCAGTAGCTGCTTTCAAAAGTTACTTAATATACTTAATATTATCAGCAGCATTCTCATTATATGACTTCATCTTTAGAAAATGTTAGTTTTTATAATAATAGAGACATCAAAAGTGATAAACTTACTGAAAATAGTAATGCTTTTTTACTGAGAGTATTATTATCTAAATCACTGTTAGTAAAATCTTCATTTGCAGTTTTTAGAAAAGAGAGACTCTGATATTGAAATTTTAATTAATTATCTCTGAATTCTTGTCTAGAGACAGATAGTAGATAGTGTTTCAGATTTCAATTAAACAGATATAATATTTTACTTTCTAATATAATTTGTAGAAAAAAGTTGCATAGTTGAAAAGATATAAATAAAGTGAATAAGTGATCTTGATAAAATAAAGAGATGAGATTGAATTACTGAAAAGAAATATATTAATAAAAGTCACAATCAGCAACAATCTATATCAATTTAATATTAAGAATCAAATCACTATATTTCTATTTATATTATAAATTTATCAGAATTCTATTAAGATTCTGAAAATGAATATTATTATGAATTCTGCTCTATTAGATCTCTCTGAACTCTCTCATCTGATAGGTTTAATGAGACAAATTACTGATTTCAAAAGAAATCTGATATTAATATATCTGAATATAGAATGAATATAATGACAGCAATGATGAATATCAGCTAGATAAGAAGAAGTCAAACTCATCACTGACATCAAGCAGTCTGTTAAAAAGGTGGCACTGAACCCAGCATCTGAATGCAGAAATGTATAAGAAGGAAATTCAGCTGACAGAGCAGTGTCTGTATCTGAAGATAAAATGAATGTATTTTCTTTCTTTTAACAAAGATAATTTGAATTGAATGATTGTAAGTGTGATAAAAACAAAGAATAAAATATTATACATCTTTTCATTCAGTAGAACAATGATGCTGAATGTGATTAAAACATGAAAGTTCTGAACTGTCAAAGAAATGAAGATAAGTAGTATTAAATTTTAGCAAATATATCAACTTTTAAGTGAGATATCTTAGAAGAATTTGAAACTTTTCAGTGAGATATTAAAATTTTTTTGATTAACTTAGCTAATCATTTATTAATATAGAATTATATTCAATAAGAGAAGACAAAGAGCAGAGAAAGTTCAGTGATAATTGAATTACATAACTGCTATAAAGAATTAATTATCTTTGAATACTTCTGTAATTCATTTACTGCTGAAAAGTTCTTTCTGATTTTTTACTGAGTATGAGAAATTATTGACTTTGATTGATTCTCTGAGTGAGGATAATAATATATGAAATGTAAGTTGAATATTCATTAGTTAAAGATATTGAATTGAAAACTTCAGATTGAAAACTAGAAACTGATTCTGAAAAATAGAGATATATGTCAACCTTGTAACTCAGGTTAAAATATTTGATAATACTGATACAAATGAAAATTCTGCTGCAGCTATACTGTAATAATAAAATATTCTGACATTCTGAGATCTGATAAGTGATATTTCTGAATATCAGTAAATTACTAGAGATGACTTTGCTGAGATGATTCAGAATACTCTGACAATAAAAAAGAGATATCTGATGAAAGATATGTGAGAGAAGATGCAGAAAAAGATCAAATTTTCAGAGACACTTCTAGTGAAAGATAGATCAGTGATGTAGAGATTTTCAACATAATGTATTTATATTTCAATATATTTAGTTTTCTATGAGTTTTATATATAAATTAGTTAATATATACTTTAATATACATAATTAGAATATACCTGCCTTGATATTCACTGAAGAAAGTTGTCATATTCTCTATCTTACAATTTGTATAGTTATGACTGTGAAGAATTCACTGATATCACTGTATCAGAAAATCTTGAATTCTGTAGATATATTTCTAACAGTGTGTTGAACACTTGATTCTAGTTAATAGAAATGATTTTATATTCAAAATAGCTGTAATTCATTCAGTGATAGCCTGTGTAGAAAGTATTAAGATATGAATAAAATTCATCAGATGCACTGATTACACTCAGAAATGAAATATAAAAGCATTTGCATTTATTACATAATAATCTGCAAAGATGAATTAACAATATATATAAGAAGAATAACTTATCATCTTCTTTTTCTTTCTTTCTTTCTTTCTTCTTCTTACAATTATATCATAATGTGAATATTGATTTTTTCAATTCACTCAGCCCTTCTCATCTTTAGCAAGATTAGTATTCTGTCAGTTGTAATAGAAAGCTTTGAATATTAAAAGTTCTAATATCAAGATATCTAATATGCATAGTATATTAAGAACATCAGTGATCTATTATTTCATTTAATAGCAGCAGTAACAGCAATAACAGCAAGAGTAATAACAGTAATAGTAATAATAGTAATAGCAATAACAGTAATATCAATAACAGTAATATTAACAACAGCAGCAGTAACAGCAGCAGCAGCAGCAGTAACAGCAGCAGCAGTAGCAGTAATAGCAGCAGCAGTAACAGCAGCAGCAGTAGCAGTAACAACAGCAGTAACAACAGCAGCAGCAATAACATCAAAATGATCAGAGACACTCTCAAGTGTACATGTGCAGCAGCAGTAAAAGCATAAGAGAAAGAGATAGTAAGCAGGCTGAATACTCTCATCAAATCTAGCAAGTCAACAATGTATAAGTACTATGTCTCATATATTTTTCTCTGTCATATTGAATCTGTTTGTGACAAAGTTGAAGAAAGTATAAAGTCATGTTCAAACTGCAATTATGAAAAGAAAGATTGTATAATATACTCTGATGAATTCAATGATGAAATCAAAAATCTGATCTGAATTCATGAGCTTTATCTTACTGCTTTGACAGTCATGAAGAAATCAGTCAAGTCAGTCATACTGAAGATAGTGAAGAATTTATTCAAGCAAATCAAGAAAGCAAAGACATGCTGACAGAAAGCAGAAAATCAAAAAAATGAAGAGTATAACTATTGTATTGAAAGTCTTAAATATGTCTATCAGTTCTGCTGAAAAAGTCAAACTCAAAATTGAGAAGATCAAGTTAAATATTAAAAGAATTAAATTGAAGATTGAAAAGAAGAAAATTACTATGAAGAAGAAGAAAATCATCATTGAAAAGAAAAAATTGAATATTAAAAATATAATACTTGCTGTTCAGCAGAAGATTTTGAGATTGATTAACAATTATTATAAAAATTAAAAAGTAGTGATAAAGAATCTCACAAACTTGATTAACAGTATCAGAGAGAAAGCACAGTGCATTTTCATTGAAATATATGAAATAATAAACTGATTTAAAATAATTGTTAAACTTCTCAGTAATACAGTCAATAAGAGTAGTAGTAATAAGAAATCTGTTAACAGTGATAATTCTCTTCTCTTCTTTACAACTCTTATCAGTCTCTCTACTGCTGCTGTTAATTCTCTCTCTCTCTTCTTCTTTAATCTTCTGACTCTGATGAGTGTTCTGAGTCTCTGAACTTATGAAACAATCACTGAAATAGTAAGCTAGAGTCAGTGAAATGATTCTCAGATTTATTCAGAGATTAATAATTGTATAGACTTTCAAATGCTCAGTATCTGATCACTCTGAAATCTCAACTCTCAAATATCAGATAACTGATGACAGTGTCTTACAGATTATAACTAATCTGTAAACCTTAATTTATAAGTTTAGTGATGTGATCAATGAGAGTAACATGACTAGAAATGAAGACTATAAAAGAAACTTGATTCAGTTGATTCAGAAGAATTTAAATAGAAGTGTCTGTAATTTTCAATAGAGAATAATACTGATGAATGAGACAGTTTTTAGAATCAGTAATTATATAGATTGAATTCAGTGATATTACTAATATAATAATTGATTTTTTCAGTTTACTACTTATTTACAGTGATTTCATCATTCATTCACTATTATACTATGATTTACAGCTCAGTGACTGTGTCACTGATTGAAATGATAAAACAATCATAATTCAGTCATGTAATAACTCTACGTTCTTCTCATAAGGTACATGTATTCTAGTCACGTGCCACCTCAACCTATTCATTTAGTGTAACTCGCGTAGATAGATTATAAACATACAATATAACAATGTTATTCTTCAAGAGATTATGAAGCTCTCTATGCAATGAAAAGCTGTAAAATAACATGCAATTAACATCTTCACGCGTTGTTACAAGTGTGTCTAGATGATTTATTAAGTGATTGAACTCATGATTAATCTAAGATCTGAGAAGACATCTGACTTAACAAAAGAATACATGTCTTTAAGATGAAGAAATGAGAAAAGGTCAGAGCAGTAAATACAAGATCACAGATCACTGTTAATATTAATAATGAATTAGAAGACAGCTTCTGAGATATTTGAGCAGAATAAAACCATTGCAGAGAAACAGTCTGACAAGTTCAATAAATATAAAGATCTGATTGAAGATATCAGTGAGATATCAGACAATGCAGAGAGCTTAAGTGACTGAAACAATAATAGCTCTGTAAGTGAGAAGACTTATATGAGACTAGAAATTGCAAGACTTCAGCATGAAGTTAAGTGAATAAAGATAGATAGAGATGAAAATGAAGAGCTCAGTATGAATTTAATGAACTATCTTTAATAAAAGAATAGAATATCTGTATTGATGAAGATTCTTAATGAATTCAGAGATCAAGTAAGATCTATAAAGAAGTCTATTATACTCACTGACTCTGCAAATTATTCTATATAACAAGAAGAGATTCTGCTCATAGTAAGATAATCTGAAATGAATGACATTCTTAATGATAAGCAGGTTAATTCTGATAAGAATGTCAGCATAAATATGCAATGTTTTTGATCAGAATGAAATATCTGATTATATAACTATATATAATCTGCAATCATCTCACAGGTCAAATCTCACTTTATTATACTTAAGAAGTCTTAACTATCTACTTATTCTCTATAATCTGTCATAGAGAATAATTTTACTGAGAGACCTGCTGTTCACAGAACTCACCTGTTTCAAGAATTAATTAAGATGATGTTAAAATCAAAGAGTTCTGATCATACATTTATCAAATATTTAATCACAATCAGAACTGATTATATCTGATTGAGATATAATGTCAAAGATTTCATGTTTTTCAACAGACTTCTTACAGGGGTTAGTAAAGATTGATTGTCTTTTATAAAGAATTAAATGAATGTAATAGAGAAGAATGAGAACACTAGAACACTTGAAGATGATTTTATAAGATTGTGTCAAGATATTCTTCTACAATTGCTAGCTACTGACAAATCTCTCATCTCTGATGAAAAGACCTCTGCAAATAATACTCAAGATTTCAACAGAAAGAATAAAAAGAAGAAGAAGAAGAAGAAGAGCTCTGAGAACAAGAACAAAGATTTCATCAAGCTGAATAGAAAGAGTAATAATACTATTAAAACATATTATCATTGTCAGAAGATTGACCACATTCAAACAGATTGCTGATTGAAATTTTCTGAAAAACACTCTACTAGCTGTGGTAAGAATAAAGATAAAAATAAGAATGAAACAGGCCCGGTGCCAGTTCATAATGTTGTTAAGCAAGTATTTTATATAACAGAGAGAGTCTATTCTACTGATTAAACTGATAAAGATATCTGAGTTCTGAACTCTGAATTCAGTGCTCATACTACATCTTACAAGAATCTTATATTAATAGTGCTGTAGAAGATTAATGTTATATTGAAGATGACTGACAGATTAACAGCTTCTGCAACAGTTATAGAGAATGTGAATATATCAGTTAAAGAAGTGAATCTGCTGCTGCAGAACATCTGCTATGTTTTCAAGCTGAAGATTAATCTTATAAGTTTTGAAAAGCTTATATATCAGAGTTATACATATAAGTAACTGATCTATAGAAATACTCATTCAATCTGCCCCGGTGGCTGAATGGTTAATGCGGCTACCTGGTAGCGCCTTGACGTGGGAAATCAAGGCGTGTGAGTTCGAAACCCGCAGGAGATACATTAAATCCGGAACTCAAGCACTTCAGATTTTTAATAAATACAGAGATGTATAAATCACTTCAATAAATCACTCTATGTTTCTGAGCTGAGAAGTTATTATCACATGTATCTAATTGTTACTACTTTGTATTTTCTATGTTCTTGTTATCTTGATATAATCTTAACACCTGTATTTTTTTCTATATAATCAACACTTGACCTGTATTTAACATCACGCAAGAACTCATCATAAGCTCCGCTTGCATATGAGTATAATGAAAGAATAATAATAATAATAATAATACTCATTTAATCTTGCTAATCTCTTCTAATAAGATATTCAGTTTTACTGTTAAATTAAGTGATAAGAATATCTACATTCTGAAAAAATAATCAATGACTAGAGACTTAATTCAATTTATAATGTTAAATAATGAATTTAAATCTGTGAAAATTCTACAGTCTGCAGAGAAAAAGAATTCTCTACTAGTATTATTCAATAAGAATATCAAGATTGTTAAACACATAATATTACAATAACATTAAAAGCTTGATTATCTCAATTCTGTGAATATTGCTAAATTAGCAGTAGATTTACAACTGAGAATGAGAATTAAGAATGACAGAGCTTTGTCATTCTGCAAGATCTGTGTACAGATAAAAATAACACATTCAATATTTACATCAATGATAAGAACTGTTAAACCTGTGATGAGATTCTTTATAAACCTTGTAGATGATAACTGTACACTATATAATGAAGTCAACCTCTCTACTCAGAGAGAAGCTAATTATTGAATGAGTATTATAAATAATACTACATGCTACAGATGAATTATTCTTATAATATCAAAGAGTGAGACCACTACATGTTTAATAACCTTTATTAATGAAATTGAGATCACTACTCAACATTGAATTGAGACTTTACACTGAGATAATGAAGATGAATTTAAAAGTGATGAATTAAAGACCTACTATTATTATTATTATTCTTCAATTATAGATGTATGCAGTCAGAGACTATGACATCTACCTGAGAAATTTTAGTTCTCAGGGTTTTTCCTATATCTGTAAAGTTAACTATTATATATTCATCAATTTCAGATATGCAAAATCAGAAAATTCCAGCTCAGAATACAAAAACTGTTTATAAATTGCAGTGTTTTAACATCTTCTGATACTTTGAAATCATTTGACAATATCATGACAAAGGAAAAGAGAAATAGAACACAGTCTTAAAGATAGACACATTAAATAGATAGATAGAAAGAAATTGAAAGAAAAAGATAAAGTAAAGAGAGACTGTAATAAAACAAATTATTAAAAGATAGTATATAGCTGTTTTAACAGACTATATCTGGTTGATTTTCTTCTCTTCATATTCAGATAATTCTGAATTTAGTCATTTTCTTGTAACTGCTTGAGTTTCTGATAGAAAGTCTATTAAGTATTTAATTCCTGTCTCAGTTGAGAATAAGAATCTCATATTTAATTGATTTAAATCATACTTCTCTTTCAATCTGACTCTGAGACTATTATATAATGCACAGTGCATTATAATATACTCAGAATTCTCATTTATATTGCAGAATGAGCATTCTATTGAGTCAAATCTATCATCAAATCTTTGTATATAAGATTTGAAATAGCCATGTTCTAGTTTCAGCTGTATTATAGATGAGAATATTTTCTTTTTACATTTAATTGAACAAGATTTCCACTTGGGTTTTGATTTAAATCTTGAATAATGTATACTCTTCTTTTGTTTCTGTCAGCTTTCATTTCACTTATCTAAACAAGATTCTTTTATTTTTCTCTTTATAGAAGATTAGAATATAACTTTTTGAATAGATCTGCTTAATTCTGCACTC